CCTAAGCCCTAACATGTTAGGCTCGGAACCTCGCAGTGAGGCACAAAGGCTGGCTTGACAAAACTGGAGTAACCCTGACGCCTCTAGCTGCGGTCTGGTGCCTGAACACCTACATATATATATGAGCAGTGAGCTAAAGCCCAGTGAATAACATAAAGCGTAAAGGGGTTTAGAATGAATGTCCTTACAGTAATGAAAACAGTTCATTTCAATCAGTAATTCAGTTGCTCAGTACAGTAAACATTAAAATGATCAATGTTCAATGGCAGTAAATCATTAAACAGATGCATATCCCCAACCATAATTTCACATGCGGGGTACATATAAGCACATGTCATGGATCCCCCTACGGGTGATGATACGGCTAGCAGACAGTTCATAGGTTCTAAGGGTCTATTCAATTTTCGTGAAAAGGCATGCGACACGTATGAATGCGTAGACCCCGAATCAATCAGTACATATGCATTTTGCGTACAGATAGAAAGGATACCTGACACAACGGTCTCGGTATTTTGCACATCTCCCGGTACTAGTGCGAACACTCGGCCTTGCCTCACAGGCTCTTTCCCAGTAGCTTTAGGGTTAGGCTTTGGTGCTACAGTTGATGCTGCTGCGCTTGGCGTAGCCTTGCTATTAACTTGCGGAGCAGAGGGACAGTCTTTAACCACGTGGCCCACCTTGCCACACCGATGCTGCTGCGCTTGGCGTAGCCTTGCTATTAACTTGCGGAGCAGAGGGACAATCTTTAACCATGTGGCCCATCTTGCCACACCTGTAACAAGCTCCAGATAATTTGTGACAAGCCCCCTTGTGTTTGTTGCCACATACAGAGCAGGGTGGAATGAACCCCACTCCCTTGGCTAGGGCTAGTTGTCGACCCCGTATTCTGTTTCTTGTTGGTCGGGTTGTGCTTGCCTTTCTTGAATTTAAAACCCTGCCTTTTACCATGCCATTCAGTTATTGGTGTTTCAGATTGTTTCACTGCTGCAATGTTCGACTCGGCCATCAATGCCCGGTCGAGAACACCCACAAAAGTCGGTAGTTTCAAAACATTTATTCGGTCAAGTATTGCAACATTAAGGCCACCCTCAAATTTTCTGGCCTTCTTATATTTGGTATCCACCATGTGTGGTGCATATCTGGCAAGTTCAGTAAATTTTGTTTCATATTCTGCAACGGACATTGTGCCCTACTTCAGTTGTTCAAATTCAGTCACTTTTCTATCCCTGACACACTGAGGGAAATACTTTTCAAAGAAGGACTCCTTGAACTGAGCCCAAGTCATAACAATATTTACATCGCGGATTAACATCCACCACCTTCTAGCTTCTTCCTGTAGAGTAAAGGTGGCTAACAGTACCTTGTGTGCTTCAGAGCACGGGAACACCTCAAATAATTTCTCTGTCTCAAGAACCCACGCTTCAGCTTTTAGCGGTTCCAGTCCTCCCTGAAAGGATGACGGTTTCATCTTGCTGAATTTATGGGTGAGAGCAATAATATCCCCATCATCCACATTAACATTAGGTTCCGGCTGTACCGGAGGAGGAGGAGGCTGTTGGTTCTGTTGTTAAAGTCTAGCAGTTATCAGTTCCATCATTCTCTTCATTCTTTCCATTCTTGCCTCAGTAGATGAGGACTCAGGTTCATTTGCATTGTCCATTTCACTATAAGCAGTTATAACAGTTATAGCAATT